AGACCTTTAGTAATCCTCCTGTTTTCAGCCTCTCTAGCACTGGGATTATAGGAGTGAACCACCACTCCCAGTCTTAATCTCAGTCTCAGTGCAATCCCAGGGTGGGGCCGGGATGGTGATTCTTGGTCCTTGAATCTGCCTTAAGCAGGCGCTTTAATCTGCTGAACTATCTGGCCAGCCCTTTCATGTACGTTTCAATGAGTTATTTAAATGAATATCAGGGCCAGGGAGATGGCTCAGTGGAATAAGCACTTCCTTGGCAAGTACAAGGGCCTGAGTTCAATCCCCAGTTCTGCCAAATAAATAACTAAATATCAATTAAGTATACTTTGTCTTAATAAACTAGTCCTCTTGATATTTACAACATAGAAATGGGCTTAGCAAATTAAATGAAACATTTTTTAAAAATGTATTTAGTACAGGGTCTACAGGGTCTCACTACACAGATCAGACTCGTAGTGATTCTTTTCAGCCTCCCAAGTGCTGGGATTACAAGTACGAGCCACCACGCCCAGTGTCCCCAGTGTGATTCACCATCTCGGTGGGTGCCAGGGGTGGGGCTGGCACTGCAAGATGTGGATTGAACCCCAACAGCTGCGCTCTGCCTAAGCAGGCACTTTAGTGCACTGAGCTATCTGTCTGACCCTAAATAAAGCATTTTTACTGCTACTGGTCCCCCCCACCACCAGGGATTGGACTCAGGCCCTGTGCTTGCTAGGGGAACGCTTATTCCACTGAGCCATCTCCCCGGCCCCCATTTTTACTGCTACTGTTGAAAGTCAACAAATACATTATTTAAAGAACCAAAACAAGGGGCTGGTGAGATGGCTCAGTGGTCTAAAGCACCTACTTAGAACAAGCTTAGCAAAGCACAGGGACCTCGGTTCAATCCCCCAGCACCACATGCCAGCCAGCCCCGCCCCCTGGTGGGCTGAGCTGGCCACACACACACACACACACACACACACACAAACACATTAAAAAATTTAAAAAAAGAAAACAACCAAAACAAGCTGTGCATGGTGGCACACACTGGTAACCCCAGCACTTAGGAGACTGAAGCAGGGATTGCCATGAGTTCGAGGTCACCCTCAGCTATAATGAGTTCAAGGCCATCCTGGACTATATAGCAACACCCCTGACTCAAAAAAGAATCAAGGGGCTGGGGAGAAAGCTCAGTAGAATAAGCACTTTCCTGGCAAGCGCAAGGGCCTGAGTTCAATCCCGGGTTCTCCCTCCCTCCCCCCCAAAAAAAATACCAGAACCAAAATATAAACTCCTAAATCAAGATTCCAGAAACAAGCATTATGGTCTGAAAATATCTTCTTACTGGTACATAACCATAAACCCAATGCAAAACAAAATTTAAAAAATACTTAGGCATCAAATGGAGAATAAGAACTCTGAAGAGTCACAAGAAACAATGAAATTTCATAACCCTAAGATTTTGTGGAAGACTGAGATTAATTTGGACAGACTAATTAAGTGGACTAAATTTCAAGACAGCCCAATTAATGTTCAGGCTGTTGTATCAATACTACAGGTGGCTTTTAGTTAGCTTTATACTAAAAATCAGGAGCTGGGCTGGCGAGATGGCTCAGTGGTCTAAAGCACCTACTTGGAACAAGCTTGGCAAAGCACAGGGACCACGGTTCGATCCCCCAGCACCACATGCCAGCCAGCCCCGCCCCCTGGTGGGCTGAGCTGGCCACACACACACACAATAAATAAATTTATTAAAAAAAATAAAAAATAAAATAAAAAAAAATAAAAATCAGGAGCAAAAAATCTCATCAATTTTGTTTGAGTCAGGTTCTCGCTACATAGTTGAGGCTGGCCTAGAAATCACTATGCAACCCAGGCTGGTCTTGCACTGATGGCGATTCTCCTCCCTCAGCCCCCCGAGTGCTGGGACTGCAGTTGTGTACCACACACTCAGAAAAAAGCCAACTTAAATGTTTGGAGTTTCACAGGAAGGAAGAGTCTATAAAGTTGGAGCAAAGTAAAGTAAAGCATAATTGCTTATGAGATTAACATTAAGAAGAAACAAAACACTTTTGGTCAGGACAACAAGAAAGTTGCCTGGAGGCCTTTTCAGGAAACAGTGAGACCTTACCATTTAGTACATTAAGAGTGTAAAAGGGTTAAGATAAAATCCTTTGAAAGACTGCTTTGAGGGCTGGGCAGATGGCTCAGTGGAATAAGTGCTTCCCTGGCAAGTGCAAGGGCCTGAGTTCAATCCCCAGTTCAGCAAAAAAAAAAAAAAAAAAGAAGAGGAAAAAAAGAGAAGACTGCTTTGAGAAGACAATGCCAGGGCACTCTATTACTCAAGGACCATCTAGGGAAACCATTCCCCAGGACTCAGTTCCCAATGTTCAGCTACTCAGGCACTTCCAAATGTGCGGTGGAGACTCCAGGAACCTAGAGATGCCAAGAACATGGAATAGCTGAAGAAAGCCACAGACAGGGAACAAAGGCTATCCAAAAGAAAGGCCATCAGGCTGGAGAGACAGCTTAGTAGAATAAGTGCTTGCCTGGCAAGCACAAGGTCCAGAGTTCCATCCTTGGTAGCACCAAAAAAAAAAAAAAAAAACCCGAACAAAATCAAGAGGCCATCAACTAGCAATGACTTAGGGACAGGGTCTTTTAGAGTTCACCTCTCATAATTTATATTGGGCTGTGACAAAGGAGCTACAGGATTTGATGTTTGTCACAATCAATTTCAATCCTACTTTGGTCTGCGTCTCTTTCTAGTCTCCCTTTTTGGAATGTGAATGTTTACCCTGTGCTACTGTACACTGGAAGTGTTTAACTTCCTTATTTACTTTTACTTGGATACACAGTGAAGAGTTCCCCTTGAGTCTCCCAAGAAACATTGAGTCTCCCAAGAAACATTGGACTTTTCAGCAATACTGAAACTCTTAAAACACTGACAACACTTAGAGATGAACTAAATGCATTTTGCATAAAGAAATGTGAATGAGTCTTTTAGGGACAAGGGTGCAATGTTATGGTTTAAATAAAAAAATGTGCTGAGATGGGTTGGCTGCCTGTGAGGAGTGGGGCCTGCATGGAGATGAGTCACTGGGGGAACGACCTGGCAGGTCATATCTTCCATTTTGGATTCTCCCTTCTTTTCCTGCTTCCTGGCTGCCAGGACAGGAGCAGCTTCCTCTACCAGACTCTTCCACTGTGTCACTTCTGCCTTGGAGTCAGTTGACAATGGAGGAAAAACAGGAGCCCAAACTCCTTCTTTAAGAGTTGTGGAGTATTTTGTCCTGGCAATAACCAAAATGATGAAGAAAAGTCCTCCAGATTCTTAACTGTAACATCTCAGATCTGTTTCTTTGTTCTCCTCTCCAGAGAATTAAATTATGTATCTATAAAAGCTTTGATATAGTTTTCTGCTTTTCAAGTCACATTATCCCCATTGTGGGTATTCTAATGGATATAATTGATAGCACTCCTTTAAATCCTTTAATAGTTTCCTCCTTCATTTCCAGAAGAATTTTATTTTATTTATTTATTTATTTTAAGGACAGGGTCTACAGGGTCTCACTGTGTAGATCAGACTCGTAGTGACCCTCCTGTTTACAGCCTCCAAGTGCTGGGGTTATAGGCATGCGCCACTACGCCCAGTCTCAACTGACCAGGGATTGAACTGCTGGCCCCTGCGTCAGCCTAAGCAGGTGCTTTAATCCGCTGAGCTATTTGGTCAGTCCAGAAAGAAAGAAAGAAAAAAAAAAACTTTTTATGCTCCTTAGAATAGCATAAAAAGTTTCATGATCTGTACAATCCCATCTGCTGCTGTTTTTTTTTTCCCATAAAAACTGAACTCTTAGAAAGCTGAATGACTCTAAATTCAGTTAATTGTCTCTGAAAGGTTATGAGTCAGGCTGCCAACCTCCTCCTCCCCATGCCTGCACATTTTTCCTCGTCTTTTAGGTACCAATTTGTTTCCTCTTATGGGAAAAATCTGGAATTCTGTTTAACACATTATGCCTTTCCATTGCTGTATTCCAGGTCCACTGTTAATTTTTTTCTCCAAATATATTTCATAATATAGTCCCATATTTTCTCTCTTCGAATTGGAAGTCATCTTTGTGTAGCTGTATATTAAGTTGTATATTTAACATACAATTAAATTTAATATTAACTTGAACATTTAAAAACTTGCGAGTTTGTGAACAATGGCAAGTTTATCGACAAATACTTCTAAAAAGAGCATTTCAACACACACACACACACACACACACACACAGAGAAAAGAGCATTTGGCTAAAGTCACTAGAGATACATTGCCCTTCCCCCCATTGAAGCTAGAGCCCAAGTAATAAGCTACATCCTTGGGCCTTTTGTTATTATTTTAGTTTGCAACAGTCTCATTAATTCCATTAATTCCCCATTCTCAGCTGGAGCCTGGGATCCTCCTGCCGAGTGCTGGGATTAATTGCATGGGCCACCATGGTTCTAATACTACCTTAGCTTTTCTGTCCTGAGTTACCTCCCTTATAAAAGAATATTACTAGGCTACAGCTCTAATCTCTGGCTGACAATTTATAGCTTATTTTCTTTTTAATTATTACTCTCCAATTAGCCCCCTTTGTCTTACGGGTAAAGAAACAGGCTCTGAGATGACACAAAATTTAGTCAAGAACTTCTACAATTAGTAAATACGAAATCTTGGTATCCAAAAAGAAATCTTGAACTCTAGAAACCTAAGTAGTTATAAAATTCTAGCCCCCTGCCCCCCCCCAAAAAATCTTTACGCCATCCAGTTTTAACAGAAGTAAAGTATAAAGAAGAAAAACTGGGAACGGTAGGACTTATAGAGAACAAAAACAGACAGGGGCGGCCGGGGAAGGGGGATGCTCGAGCGGACTTCCGACCTGGGAGGACTTCCGGAGTCAGCCACAAGAAGATCCAATCAGAACCTTTCTCCGGGAACCAATGGGAGAGCATATTACAAAGAGCCAATCAGCGTGGCGCTGTCACTGTTTTGGTCCTGTCACGGCGCCGGCGTCGTGGTGCTTGGGCGGTCGCCCCCGAGAGTTGTGGACCTCGGCGAGGCCTTTGGGGGTTACTGCCCGGCGCGGTCCCGTCGGGCCTCGCCCCAGCCTGCACCTCACCATAGCGGCCCGCGGCGTGGCGCGGGCGTGCGAGTCGGCGCCGCGGCTGCCCCGGGACCTGGGCCCGAACGGAGCCTCCTCCACCGCAGCGAGCCGAGAGAGGCGGCGGCGAGATGCAGCCGCCCGGCCCGCCCCCGGCCTTTGCCCCCACTAACGGCGACTTCACCTTTGTGTCCTCGGCCGACGCGGACGGTGAGCGGGAGCCGCTGCGCGGTGGGTGCCCCGCGCGGGCTTCGCGGTGCTGGGGCGGTGGTGGCCGGGCGGGGACGCCGGAGTGGCCCGGGCGCTGGGCGGCCGGCTGCGGGAAGCCCAGTGACTCGGCAGCTGCAGCTTTGCGCGCTCCGCCTGGGAGCACGGCCTTCCGGATGCCTTATTCACCGCCGGGGCTTTATTTCTGGAATTTCTCGCAGTTTCTCGGAAACAATTAGATTGGCCGTGGACGGTATCCAAAAAATGAGCTAAAAAAATTAAGAGCTGCGTGCCAGCAATTTATCTTTTTTTTTTTTTGTGGAACTAGGGATTGAACTCAGGCCCTTGCGCTTGCCAGGGGAGCGCTTATTCTACTGAGCCATCTTCGGGGTTCCCAGTTTTTTGTCAATAGAAAAATCTTGGCAGGGATTAAGTTGGACGCTGTACATCAAACGCCCCTCACGGAGTTGGTGGGTTTTAGTGAATTTGGTGGCTTGGATCACAGTTTTTGTCCCACTTGGTAGTGCTTGACGTTAACATTCAGAAAGGTGGAACCCACGTACATTGGACACTGCATAATTTAATTAGATGACACAGTTTGCTAAGTTGCCCAGCTTTTACACACTTCAGCGTACTGATATATATATATATCTATATATAGATATATATAGATATATATAGATATATATAGATATATATAGTTTTTAATGTATTTAGTGCAGGGCCTCACTACACAGATCGGACTCATAGTGATCCTCCTGTTTTCAGCCTCTTAAACGCTGAGATTACAGGTGCGCGCCATCAGGCCCAATCTCTGTCGCCATCAGTGTGTGTGCCCGGGGAGGGGCCGGCACGGGTATCAAACCAAGGTCCCTGCGCTCTGCGTAAGCAGGGGCTTTAGTCCCCTGAGCTAACTGGCCTGCCCTCATCGTATTGTTTTGAAGAAGCCGAGGTGCTAGGGAGACTTTTCAACAGCACAGGAAATTTTTTTTTTCTCCTTTTTCCCCTTTCTTTATACTCAATTCCCTTTTACCCTAAATCTTTCTGTACTAGTCATTTTCAAATTTTACTTTCGTTTTTTTCTTTTTGAGAAGGATCTTGCTGTGCAGTTCAGGCTGGCGTTGAGTTCACTTTGTAGCCCTGATTGGTCTCGAACTCACTATGATCCTTCTGCTTCAGCCTTTCAAGCGCTGGGATTACAGGCGTCAGATTTCACTTTTGTTAGATATTTATATACTTTTCCAGTGACCAGATCTACTGTCTAATATAAAAATACAGATTACTGGGCTGGTGAGATGGCTCAGTGGTCTAAAGCACCTACTTGGAACAAGCTTAGCAAAGCACAGGGACCGCGGTTCAATCCCCCAGCACCACATGCCAGCCAGCCCCGCCCCCTGGTGGACTGAGCTGGCCACACACAAAATAAATAAACAAATAAATTCTTTTTTTTTTTTTTTAATTTTATTTATTTATGTGTGTGTGTGTGTGTGTGTGTGTGTGTGTGTGTGGCCAGCTCAGCCCACCAGGGGGCAGGGCTGGCTGGCATGTGGTGCTGGGGGATTGAACCGCGGTCCCTTTGCTTTTGTTAAGCTTGTTCTAAGTAGGTGCTTTAGACCACTGAGCCATCTCACCAGCCCCAAATAAATTCTTAAAAAAAAAAAAAATACAGATTACTTTAGCTAGAAATTTCAGGCTAGAGAAGATCCTCATTTTTTCTCAGAAACATGATTTCATAGTGCATCTGTAGACATAGCTTGTTTTCTCTTTCTTTCCTTTGAGTGGCATTTTTTAAGAAAAAGGTAATAATTATGATTTTAGAAGTGAAATAAACAGGCGACACAGTTCAACCCCAGCCTGAATGTCTTAGTGATTTATGGAAACTCCATCCCAAAATAGGAGAAAAACAAAGGGGATTGAGGGCTTCAAATGGAATGTAGCTGTTACCTTTCTCTTAAACCAAAGTAAAGCAACTTAAAAATATTTCATTTTGTTTCATCTACTTTTTTTTTTTTGATGTAGAGTTGGATAGCCCTGAGCTAATACAACTCTAGCTCTTTTTATTTATTTATTTTTAAATATTTATTTGTTTATTTATTTTGTGTGTGGCCAGCTCAGCCCACCAGGGGGCGGGCCGCCTGGCATGTGGTGCTGGGGGATTGAACCGCGGTCCCTGTGCTTTGCTTGGCTTAGCTTGTTCTAAGTAGGTGCTTTAGACCACTGAACCATCTCACCAGCCCCTAGCTCTTTTTATTTTGAAAAAAGTCTTGATAAATTGTCCAGCCTGACCTTAAACTTGCTATCCTCTTTCCTCAGTTTCTCCAGTTTTACTTACATTTGGTAGCGTAGTGCTTATGTCAGATTTATTTCCCAGACTTTAAACGAACAAAAGAGTCCATTGAGTCCATGTACTCCAAACAAAAGAGTCCGAAAGTGTCCATTGAGTATTAGGAACTGTTGTTTGTATACATCTTCACTTCTTCGAGGACTGTATCTAAGAAGTTTGACAGAGGGCCAGCGAGATAGCTCAGCAGTCTAACGCACCTGCTTAGGCAAGCTTAGGCAGGCACAGGGCACCGAGGTTCAGTCCCCCATGTCCACCAGCCCCGTGCTCAGGGAAGGCAGAGCTGGCCAAAAAAAAAAAAAGTTTAACCAAGGGCTTACTCATTGGTAGTATATACTAAGGAACTTGGAATAAGTGAAATCCATCAGGTTTGTTAAAGCTCCTCTTTGTTTTCTCCAAAGATATATAGATGCATTATATATTTAAGGAGAGATATATAAACACTTTATGTGTATAACACTGTAAAGTTCACATTACAGAATATGTTAAGCCTACTGCTCTTTTGATTGTTATAAGACCCTGATGCTTTATTATGCCTATATTTTATAAGAAATGGGCTTAGAGTGGTTATTTTACCTGATGACTCTTGAATTAAGAACTAGTCTTTGGGACTGGGGATAATTGCTCAGCAGCACAGTGCCTGCCCGGCAGGCACGAGGTACTGAGCTTGAGTTCTGGTTCCCCCCACAAAGAACTTAGTTTCTGTCTCCTTATATTTCTTTCTGCTAAACCATGCCTCTTTCTTGTACTTTATAAATTGAGTAATACATCTAAGGTATAATGAGCCCTGAGTTTGCAACATGGCATTCTGGCTTTACCAGTTGTCTGTGTGATGTTGGTCAAGTTGTTTATCCTCCCTAACTTGGTTTATTCATATACACATTGGGGCTTAAAATACCCAAGTGCTGAAATACTTTATAAACATCAAACACTTAATACCATACCTAGCAGAGTTAAATGCTCCACATATATAAGTAATGGTGCTGCTGCTTGGGTCCCAGTATTACCTGTCCCACACTTATTTTCATTGTTTCCTAATGTGAACATTTTATGCAGTAATTCCAGTTCCTAGATATGCAGTAACTCTAGTTCCTACATATGTCATGTAAGTTCTTTTCTCCCCTTTTTATGCTGTCCTCTAACCATAAATCATTTCAGTATATACATTTATATTCTCAGTATATACCTAAGTGCTATCCAAATCTCTTGTTTATAATGATTCCTGTTATTACTATTAGTTCACATAAATCCTTTTTTCTAAAATATGTTGTGTTTTGTCACCATAATCCCTTATCTTCATCCCTTGACTGCCTTTCTCCTCTTTACATCAAGTTAAAATTTAAGAGTAAACACAAATGTTCCTTTGGTAAAAATTTTTCTTAATCCCTCTTTGTTTTTTTTTTGTTTTTTTAATTTTTTTTATTTATTTGTGTGTGTGTGTGGCCAGCTTAGCCCACCAGGGGGCGGGGCTGGCTGGCATGTGGTGCAGGGGGATTGAACCGCAGTCCCTGTGCTTTTGCTAAGCTTGTTCTAAGTAGGTGCTTTAGACCACTGAGTCATCTCACCCGCCCCTCCCTCTTTGTTTTCTACGTGCACCACTTACCACAGAACCTAAAATAATATGCATCAAACAGTGAATTGTCTGATTTTTTTAAAATTTTTTTTATTTATTTATGCGTGTGTGTGTGTGTGTGTGTGTGTGGCCAGCTCAGCCCACCAGGGAGCGGGGCGGGCTGGCATGTGGTGCTGGGGGATCAAACCGTGGTCCCTGTGGTTTGCTAAACTTGTTGTAAGTAGGTGCTTTAGACCACTGAGCCATCTCACCAGCCCTGATTTTTTTTTTTTTAATCTTTATTTATTTGGCACAGGGTCTTGCTACACAGCTCAGACTCATAGTGATCCTCCTGTCTCAGTCTCCCCCATGCTGGGATTACTCAGCTCGGCGCCCAGGGCCTGCACAGCATGCTGTATAGGGGATCAAACCTGAGTCCTTGTATATCAAAGCAGGTGGTTAGACTGCTGAGCTATTTCCTCATCCCGAATTGTCTATTTAAATTATTTTTAAAAAA